TTCTCCACTTAATCTACAAGGTCAAATAGAATTAAACTTAGCCACAATTTTCAATAGGGTATCTTGATTTAGAAATGTATCCGATGACCCTGCCATCCAACCAACATGGCTGCCATGGCTAAAAATTAAACATAGGGGTTTACTATAGAAGTCTATTGGAAAATTGTAAAAAAAAACAATTTAAAATTGTCACAACTGGAAAACTAATTTAAATAAATAATGATAAGGGGTCTTCGGTAACTATTGTAAGACTACAATGGGATGACCTGTTTTAATTTAACTACTGGGCAAAATCAAACCAAACTTGGTCTCAATCATTATTGGGGTATCTAATACTATTTATTATGATTTCAACCTTATTTTACATGATTTCCAAACCCACAGTAGATACAGGTGAGCGACACAGGCTATTGAGAGCCTCTAGTTTATAACGCTAAAATGGCTCAGTTTTAAAACGCCCTATCCATTGACGGTCACTAAACCAGGGTCCAATGTGAACCCAGCTACTGATGTATTTTCGGTATTCCGAAAGACTACAAATTCAACCAACATATCCTATCAGGGGTTCACTCAATAATATAAAATAAGGATATGTGATCATGATTGCCAATGAGACAACTATCCAACAAAATCCAAATGAAACAGATTTAAGCAACTATAGGTCATCATGACCAAGACCAAAATCTTCAGTTGGACTGTTTGAATATAATCTCATTGCCACGTATAAGTTTTATTTGCAAAAATGCCAGGTGAGCAATACATGCAGATAGGAGCGCCTTGTTATATAATTATCAACATGAAATTTTACTAGATTCTTGGAGCCTCTGATTAAAGTCATACCTGTGACATTGTGCTGTTATGATATTATCTGGCTTACCTAGTTGGTTGCATCTTTTCCATTGAAATTGCAATAAAGGACTTCGTCACAAAAAAGCTCAGGTCTGCGTCATACTGGATAATGAAAGTTGGTTGAGATTTTAACTTTACAATACTTATAAAAGTGATGATTTGAAGCAGAGGTAGATTTGCAAGGGGACAAGGGGGCTGGGTCACCATTATGAAGCTACATGTATGGTTAATTCATAGACTTTTTACATGGCCCCGCATAACGTTGCCTAGTTTGCACCCCCCCACCCCCCACCCCACCCCCCCTCCCCATGTGAATCCGCCACTGACCGGGCAATACCGACATAAAAATTGGATTCGAACGAACCTTGGGACAACGTGTTATGGGACCGAACGGAGTCGCTACCATAGCCACTAAGAGGGCAACATATAGTGTTCAACATTAGACAGGTGTCTACACAATATGTCAAGTTCTAAATCATCACGAATTTATATAAAAATTGTGATAAATTTAATAGAAACAATCAAAGATCGGCATTAAAACGCAATTCTCCAAATAATGTAACAATTTAAGAGAGAGCCTGAAATATAAAAAAAAGTCACTAGTAATATTTTAAAAGCTACAATCTTTTACAACGTAACTTTTTAGGCGTATTTTCCCCTTTATTTACTAAACAAGAAAACTTACACAGGAGCCGTGGAGTATATCCTTTAGTCTGCACTGTCGGGATGAGCCAAAAAAAAAAAGATCGAAGAAGACTTTTTGTAACAAGATTGCTCTGATGTGAAATAAATTCAGTGGAAATTGTTGTCCTTACCTCTTCGCAATTTTGTTTCTAAAGTCGTCAAGACATATGAAAAATGTTGAAAAATGTATATACAAAATATTCCAATTTAACGATTTTCAGATGTTGACCTCGTGGGATAAACAAATACAAGAGATTTATTTTTTTTTAGTTTTGATGATTGTTGTCTCATTGACTTTACACCCACATCTCTACATTCTTATCTCTGTGCATTTTCATCTTAATTTGTTCAAATATCAATGTTCAAATGTCATTGTCTGGACCTTTCTCCGACACTACTGAGCATTTGTTATATGGAGTACAATCCATGTATTTGAAGAGTGAAGACTTTCAACAAATATTCAATCGTGAGATTAATAACACGTATCATAATACATGACCGTTTATCGTTTTGTTTCTTATTTTTAAAGTCTGTCAAGGGAGATAAATTGTTTATTGGGACAGAAAGGTAGGAGCTCAAATTATTTTAAAATAAAAGGATGTAACAACCGCAAAAGGACTGGAATTGCATGACTTCTTAAAGTTAGACTGACAATTGAACCTCTCGCAAGTTTACAACTTCCATTATCGTAACCCTCTGTACGTTCATCAATTTATTCAATTTTAAACAATTTACTGTAAAATTTTACATCTCAAAAACTCGCGGTGTCTCTTGAAGTAATTCTTCTTTTAGATGTTCGCGTAAAGCTACAAATGCAGCCATTGTTACATGACATGACACATATTTCCCCGCTATTGGCAAACTTTCCGATTTCCGACTGTTTATACCCAGTCGGGAATTTGCGACCAATATTTATCGTAAATCGTAAATATTTGTGAAACGGTCGCATATCGTAAACATGGTCGTACGACCTATTTCACGATCTACGACCTTTAGTGAAACGGTGGCCAGGTTCTGCTTACCCTTCAGGAGCACCTGAGATCACCCTCATTTTTTTAGTGGGGTTTGTGTTGCTTGGTCTTTATTTTTCTATGTTGTGTTTTGTGTACTTTAGTTTGTCTGTTTGTCTTTTCTTTGTTAGCCATGGCGTTGTCAGTTTATTTTCGACTTATGTGTTTGAATGTCTCTTTGATATCTTTCGCCCCTCTTTTATCAAAGGTGGTACATGTTGAAAATAGTGAGACGAGATATAACACAAAATAAGTAGAATTGAATAACAAAAATTCATTACATATTGAGTAAATAGGATAAATTTAAACGAAAGTACGATTTGAGAGTACGTACTCGACGTTACGGAAAGCTAGTTTAAAGCCAAAAACAATTAATAATAAAAATCATGTATTAGACACTAGAATCAATTAAAACACATCACAGGGAATTCGTTTTTTAACGCCATGGACAGCAAGCGTCTACTTCTCAAGGGAAGCAATCGCTGTAGAGGGTATGAGGCGGCTGCGCATTGCTAAGCGGCGTTACCATAAAATCAAGAGGACAAAATATAGGTTCCAGTTCTGTGGGGAGGTAATAAAGAATCAGGTCAATTCTTAATAATGTTAGATTGATTTTCTGGGCACTATATAAAATCAGCTAACACGGTGCACTTTATGTATATATCAAAATCTATAATTTACAAAGACAACATTTCACTTGAAATAATGAAAAACCGTTAAAATAATGTCACTAACGCTTTCATGCATTTAAGCAATCTTTATGCGATGATGTTACAATGTCATCGACGAAATTGCTGTTGTTAACGTTAGGGGAGATACATCCAACATGTCCACGTAGGAACGTTAGATTTCTGTTGAAAGAACCTTTAAAGTGTGCATCTATTGCCAGTCATTTTTATTTTATAGGGTCGTTCATTTTATCAAACGAATCTTTAAAATTTTCCTTTACTGCATGTTTCCAAATATTTGCTCACATCTAGCTTTTCGATGGTGGATCACGAATATGTTGTCTATGGATACGGACTCTTTTACTAATAAATTCATTAACATATATACAATTAATTACAAGTCAGTAATATATTTTTATTATACAGTTCATTAGGTTTTAAGCTTTGTAATAAGTATTTGTATTTGGAAAATGGTTTTGACGTTTTGTAATGTTATTTGATGTTCAGTTTAGGATCATTGTATTTTGAACCCCTGTATTTCAATTTCAGTTGTGTCATGAAATTTAGCCTTTGTTAAAATCTTTTTAAATTTAAAGGCTGCCGAAAACTCTTTAGGAAAATTTCCGAATATTGTTTTTATTCTTTCAGTTTTGTTGAATATGTCGGGATTAAACAGGTTATTTTTGTTGATATAGCTCTTCAATTGTTTCTTATAAATCCTTGGCTTTCAAATATTTGACTTCGAGTGTTCCTGATGAAGGTAAATCCAGAAAAGCGATTCGGACGCATGAAATGTATATAACGTGTTGTTTTCATTTTTTACATCACTGGGTCGATACCTCTGCTGGTGGACTATCAGTCACCCGAGGGTATCATCAGCTCAGTAGTCATTACTTCGGTACTGACATGATTTATAACAATCTTTTCTAAAAATGTCCGTTTATAAATTTTGAAATCATAAAAAAACTAAGGTTTCAACTCCCTCAGGCAAAGTTAGCCTTAAATGGATTTGGCTATTTTATTATGTTATTTTTGGTGATATAGCTCTTCAATTGTTTCGGTTCTTATAAATCTTTGGCTTTCAAATATTTGGCTTTAAGCGTTCCTTATGAAAGGAAATCCAGAAAAGCGCTTCGGACGCATGAAATTTATATAACGTGTTGTTTTCATTTTTTATAAGAGTGCTAAAAAAGGGATGAATTAATTGTTTCTTTCTCTAAATGATGTTGGCCTGAATTCCGTCATGAGTATTGATTTTGCCTTTTCTATGTCTTGGTCTATTAGCGGGTTTGAATTATTTTGTTTTCTCAAAAAGCTCATCATTTCAAGCAAACGTATTCGTCACTTACAATAGTCCAATCACGTCTTGCAAGACAAAACGCTTCGTGTGTGAATGATGGCACGAATGAAAATTCAGGTATGTTCATCTTCTTGTACTAGTAATATATATCTATCATTGAGTTGTGCCTTTCTTTAATATCAAAACATCCATAAAGTGTAACTAATGTTCGCTTTATTCGATGGTTACTTTGTTAGAAAGATGTAATGTGCTTATCAGATTGTGAAACTTTTCAATACTATAATTTTTGTTCAAAATATAGAAACTTTCGTCTAGGAACGGCTTTCATTCTAAAATCTGTATCAAATTCATTTTCGACGTATTGATACATTAAGTCCTTTAGAAATCCCATCATGAGAAATACAAATTGAAAGTTGGCTATAAGTATATACAATTTACAAATCATTTTATGCTTAAACCCTCAATCGTTGTTCGAAGATTAAACCAAGGGAAAGCAATATATTTAATAATAGAATGTCTAACTCTAAGCATCAATGAATTGAACAATTCGTTTATTTGTCTGATCTGGCGAAAACAAGTTCATTAAAATCTAGTTTGTTGTTTTATATATAACTGCACGAAATCCCAATTTGGCAACAGAACCATCAGTTGTAAATAATATTGTCATAAATCTTCCTGTGGATGTTAACTCCGTTGGATTAATTGTTCCCGTGTAATTTGCTAAAGAACCACAGGTAGTTGACTGTCCATTGTATATCTTGTATGAAAAAAGAAAATGTAAATGAGAACCAGTAAACGGTAAAGATGTAATAATTTGAAATATAATCAAAATCCGGCGAAAAAGATTAAAAATAGCGAATACAACAAATGTGATAGAGTCCAGTGGTTGTTTGCGATAATTAAATTTTATTCGACTGTCATACAAGTGAGAGGTGAAGCTTGCTATAAACTCAGGCTTAATCCATCATTTTCTATTAGGAAATGCATGTATCAAGTCAGGAATATGACAGTTGTTTTCCATTCGCTTTATGTGTTTGCGCTTTTGATTATGCAAGTTGATAAGGGACTTTTCCTTTTGAATTTTCTTTGGAGTTCGGTATTTTTGTTATTTTACTTGTTATTGTTATTTGTGTTTTTGTTACATATATATGGCATTTACTTAAATCAGACTTAAATTATCCTTTTTGAATTGCCTCACTTTCTGTTATTAAGGGACTATTTATACATTGTAGATGATCATACAGTACATGTTTTGATAATCCTTGAAGGTCGAACGATGACCTGTAGGTATTTACAAATCAAAAGATATTTGGGATCACAAATATCCTTTATCAGCTGAATAACGATTCCATCTGTTTGGTTTGTTCTGTAATCCTGCAGTTTTTACATAATACAAATGGAACATCGTTAAATTATATCATGCATTAATCTTGAATGATATACAAATATAAGTATTAACGACCGAAGAAATGAAAATTAATGTTATCTAACATTAGAAAAACAATAAAATACAAATATGGGACACATATAAAAGAAGACAATGGCTATATATATCTGAAATTTTAGATCAAAATTTAGATATTTGTATTAAAACAAATAATTACGTTGACTTGATAAAGTTAATTCTTTTTTTATATATATGAGCGGCAACATTTCTCACACAGACGAAGTTGTCAATGGATACTTAGGATACTTTTTAAATTTTTTTATTATATAATATTATATTGTTCTTTTTCGTATTTTTTATCGTATTTTTACTGGGAGAGGGAGGTGTTCGATATCAAATATTTTTTTTTAAAGTTTAATAGTTTCATTTTTCATCTTTTTTTAAAAGCGTTTTCAGATATGGGAGAAATGTTCAGTGATTTTTTTGTTTTATTTATTAAATATTTTTATTCAAATAGTTTTGTTTTGTCGTATTTCAAATAGCATTGACAGAATGTCCAATTCGTCCTCCTGTTACGATTCCATTGACGACCAAACCTACCTTATATCTTATATATAAAATAGTTTTTATAAAAAAAGTTTCACGACTTGATTAAAAACAAATAAAGCAAAGCTTGTTCCTTTCAGTACTTTGAATCACTTTGATAATACCGGAAACCTTTTGTTACGACAACGTATGTTTCATGCATAGTATTTTTACTATTGAGTTGGTTTAGCCAATAAACATTGTATTCATTTTCCTTCATTTGAATACTGTGTTGAAGTGTGTTATAAAAGAGATGCATATTAAGAGTGATATTACTATCCTTATATGGTGGAAAGATATATTATAGAGCAACTAACTTACTTTTACAAAATCAAGAGTGTTCTCAAGTTCAAAATGAGTAAACGTTATTCGGACGGTGTTTGAAAGTCCAACATCAATATTCCATAGTCTATGCATGTTGTCGTTGTAGTTTGACGGATATCCAGGGGATGTTATTATTTGATGTAATACATCTGTATGTTTAAAAAATGAAATCATAAAAGGTATTAATAGACACAACGCTAACATATACTAAAGTGAAAAAAATATTCTCAAGTCTTTTGCAGTGTTTTTTTTCATTTGCAATCAGTATTTTTATGTTTTATTCTCTGAAAAAGGCTTCTTTGCTAAACTACAAACTAACAAAACTTTGAAACTCTGAAACTAGTAGGTCTGCTTCATATCTTGATATTTTCCTCATTTGAACAACATGTGACGATTTTAAACTAGAATCTATAACAAATGTGATGATTTTATTTTTTCAGTCGGAAAGTCCACAATTCTCAACAATAGCATATCCCCTGCACCACCGTATGGTGTTTACATATCTCAACTGATACGTTACACTTGTGTATGATCACTCTGTACGGCCTTCCTTAGCAGGGATATTTCCCTTACACAAAACAGAGTTACGAGGAAGAAATACTAAAATTGACCCTACATGATCATGAGTTTTATAGAGGTCATAATCACGAATAAGTTGACTGATACGGTTATCAGTGTCTAAACTCACTTGCTACATGTTTTCACAATATTAATCTTTGGATACACGAAAAGTTGTCTAATATGTGTCCTATACGTAATTTTGACATTTTAACTTTGTTAGGATTATCATGGCTGTTGATGATGCATAACAGGCACGCTCACCCTGTAGACGCAATCGGTCTCGTTCCTTTGAGAGTTCATGATATTTTCTCAATTGTTGTTTGTTACCTTGATCATTCTTCCGAATTGATTTAAGAGATTTGAACAACCATAGACTACTGGTGCTTGAATTTATTGGACTTTCCCAAATTCACCATGACTACCAATCATATTTTGTGTTTTAAGATATGTCTTTCAAATGGGTCGTAATGGATAAAATTAACGGTTATCAAGATCATCTGACAACGTGTCATCTCTACAATAGTTTCCGTTTTCTTGATTGTTAAATATTCATACGTCTGATCAGGAAAATAGAAATCTGCATGATATTGTTTGCAGTATGCAAAAAATTCGACTGAATCTGGGTTTGTATGGTGGAAGATGAGTTCAGAAGCAGCAGATGCACCTGGTCTCTTCCCTGTTAGTTTTCATGCGAATCCCTCAAGTGTTTTCACTTGGTTGGTCTTATTAAAAAAACAATTAATTTTCTGTAATCTCTTACATGAAGATCATCTGTGTTTTTTTAGTCATAAATGAGAATGATACTTACCACGCAATAACATCGTATTGTCATTAGTTTAAACAGCATGTATTAATGAAAAATTACAACAGTAAAGTATTACAATGTTACATGAAATTCAAATATGGGATTCGGAAACAAGTTTGAAAAAACTTTTATAAATCCGTCTCCCCGTATTGTCATTGAATTTGTCTGTATATGTGACATATCTATTAAACACATTTTCCATCGGATAACCTTGTTTTAAGAACTAAAAATACAAGCTACAAGTTATATAAAACAGGATAGATATGTCTCATATTTATTTATTTCTTTTTTTCTTTTTAATGAAACAAAACTGTCTTGTTTTAATTCTTTTATTTTTCATCGTTTCTTCCTTTCCTAAATCCAATAATAATTTATTTTGTCTGCTTGAAAAAACATGAATTTTTACAAAAGAAGACACCATTTTGTGATATAATCTTGCTGTAAAATCCGATTAATGATTTTTGAAATGAAACTGTACTATCATACAATTGGTGGACCATTAATTGATATGCCTACTAAAAAATTGACAGCAAATCTGTTTTTTTTTTTTGGTTATTGTATGAATTCCTACTTCTATCTTTTTTTTTGTTATAATTGTTTTTGTGTTCTACTCACCTTGACAACGACGTCCTTTGGTTCCATTTGGACAATAACAAGTAAACGTATTACATGATGTTCTACATGAACCAAAATTGAAACAGGGATTTGAAAAGCATGGTCCAATTTCTGAAATTTTTATGATTATATAATATCCAAAATATACTTTCATATTATCAGTAACATATCATTTTTGTCTGTGATGTCAAGTTATAATTGTCATTAACGATTAAAGAACGAACTGCGTTTAAATTTATCAAACCAATACACATATATTATCCTTCCAACGGCAATAACTCTTTCGATTAGTGTGTTTACGGCGTTATTTTTAATATAAGAGAGAGAGGCGGAATATACCAAACTCAGATATCGAAAATTAAACTGACAATGCCATGGCAAAAAAACGAAAAACAACCAAAGGACAAACAAGTCTATAAGACGTAAAATAGAAAACTAAAGACTAAGCAACACAACCCCCATCAAGAACATTTAGTGATCTCAGGTTCTACTTTCTTGAGAGTTCCGCGTGTAGCACATGTCGTGTCAATAATGTAAGTACAAATTTGATTATCTGGCTAAATCGGTATGTCACCTTCATGGAAAAAAGTATTGTGGCTACTACAATTGGAACATATCTTTAGTCATCTGTGAAACAAACATTCTATAGTAGTCAACATAGTTGTAGTCGTTTAAATTTCAATGCGATATGATTCTGTAAATTAAATAGTTTATTACCACTGATTTTCGAATAAATATTTCTATGGAAAATTGTAAATCAGCGCTGATTTCCGAACTTGTCAGAGGCATTACTGCTATAAACAATTGACAAATAATTAATAGTTGAGCTTCCTACCATAAAACTAGTCTTGAGAGCTCTTACAAAGCTATTTCCAAATAATTGAAACTTTCAAAGGGAATAACTGCTTGAAAAATAGTTATTCGGCAATGATTTTCGGGTTCTTTCGACACATTGCAGAAATTAACATTTGTTATGTACTTTATACTAATTCTGGAAAGAATTGTACGCATGAGAGAGCTTACAAGGCCTGACAGAAGGACGTATAGGCATATGAGGGAGCATAACGTTCTTTAAAAAAAATGTTGATCGGCACATTTCAACAACCTCGTCCGAGATATTGCTTATCTTAAAATTTTACGCGTGAAAGTGGAATACAGCAAGCTGGAAAGACGAAAATCCAGGGACAGAGGGACGCCCGCTATTTCTATGCCCACACCGCGTTCCAGTAGGTCCAATATTGCGTAGAATGTAATCTGAAACCCTTTATTAAGAAAATAATGATCGGAAATGACAGCTCTGGTATAACGTATCAACCGGGAGACATATACTTCATATGTAGGCTCAGTCGAATGTAAGCGTTGCAACTTAGAAATGAAAACCTCAAAATCAGGAAATTTATGATTAATTTTGCTGTAAAGTTTTGTTCTTAACCGTCTCTTATTGCCAAATGTCAGATTATATTCAAGATATTATGTACTGTGAAAGTACTTTAGTTCGTGGGTATCAATTTGCATGGTTTCAGCAAAAGTAACATGTTTGTGGGTTTATAAATTTGTGGATTTTAGTTTAATGAAGAAAAAAAACCCGAGTGACGAATTTGAAGACTTCAAAACGAATATTCGTGATATCAATCATATGTTGTTTTATAATGATTTGTGGTACATTGTAAAATAATGTCTTCATTTTCACTCACTTGTTTGTGTTTTATTACTGATAAGATTCATAATATTCTTAATAAAATAATTGCCTTTCGATATAAGCTGATTCATCTATGCTTACAAATTGTCTCGATTAAAAGAAGATGCAGAGTAAACATTTTAGTTGTTGCACACGTGTAATCAGTAGTTATGACACTTCTTCGAGATCGAATGATCAACAGGATAACGATCATCAAAGGTGTTAATTGGTCCATAACATGTAACTTAACGAAAACGGTCACATATAAGAAAATGCTACAAATGTACTTTGAATTGTAGAACTAATTATTATGAAATCAAACGCAAGCCTAAAATAAAATCATTATTTTTTTTTCGTATGAGAAATATGAAAAAAATGAACACTTCATTATCGCATATCATCACCAGAAATCTGACTTTCATCGATCAAAACTTATTTCTCATGAGAATTAAAGGGTTAACAGTTGTACATTTTAGATTTTTTTAAAGATTAAATGGGCAAAATCTGGTCTGAAATTAACGTTGTACAAAAAGAAATGTGTATTTAGTTTATAGTGCGTTGGCGTATCCGTGTAGTCAAACTTAAATTTCGTCATGTTCGTTATGTGGAAATACTCAAAGCGCTTTGATTTTTTTACTCATGTGCAATTAGTTATTTTGTGTAAAGAATTAATACATCATACCTTTACTTTTCAATTACAATCATTGTCTCAGATATATAACGACAGTGTAAAATATCATAGTATTATACCTGTTTGTTACAATATGGAATGTTACATTATTTTATAGTTAACAATTCTTTTCATGTATGAATATTTTTTCATATTCATTTTGTAGTAATATTTAGAATGTATGTGTAAGCAAGAAAAAATCTAATGACTATATTTTTAGTATCGGTATTACTTTATTATTATTACTGTAGTTATTATCATTTTAATAGAATGCTTAAGTTTTCAAATCGTCCTAAAGCTATAATCAATTAGAGATTATACCGTGGTTATGCAATTTTCCTTGTAATTTCTATCCCAAATAGATTTTACAGGAGCGCAAAAGTAAAAATGATATTTTTTCCTTTCAATCTTATTTAATTTGTTTTCAAATTCTTTCGCTATTAAAGGCATACCTTCTTTACACAGGCGTCCTGAAAACCCAGAATCGCATAAACAGTGAAACGTGCCATTCAACACCTCACATGAGCCTCCATTTAAACACTTAAGTCCAGTACAAGGTGTCACTGAAATTTCAAATGTTCGTCAAAATAATTGAAAAAAATGAATAACCGATTTTAAATTCTAGTATTTCATTAAATTTGATAAAAAAAAACATAGAATAAATAATTTGATATACATTTATACATTTTTAAACAGAACGTTTAGTTCAATTGTCTTGAAAGTAATGTTTAGTATACTGATACAAAATCATGCCGTCACATAGTTATCTATCGGATATTCTGTCATGGGTAGGCATATAGTTATGTGACATTTGCATCCCGAGGAGCGCACCGAAGTGAAATATATATAACATCTATGAAAATATAGTAGCTGCCCTTTCGAACATCGAAGGTTAATCGTTGGAAACCATAAATATTTCAAGTCAAAAAGATTAATCGAAACACTAGATTACAGGAATTCGTGTTTCGTCGGACGGCGTTGTTAAATGTTGACTATATTTACGTGTGTATTGTTCAAGGATAAAACGTAAACTAGATGACATCCTAGTGAAGCTCTAAATCGGATATTGCTCAAGAATGGTATCTATGCCAAGACATGCTAAAAAAGCTAATTCTGTTTAATTTCATACCAAACGTGATCCAAACGCAAAATGTATAGTTTCAGCGATAACAAAGGTTTGATTCAGTTATTCTCTCAGTTTGTTTGTATTTTCTCAATAATCTATTAAACTAGCAATACATTATATCTACGTTATTAATATTTAAGGCGTACCTTCACAGAGACGTCCAGAAAAGCCTGATTCGCATAAACAGTTAAATGAGCCATTTAACACCTCACATGAGCCTCCGTTCAAAAAGATAAGTCCAGCACAAGGTGTAACTGAAATTTGAACAACACAAAATAATTAATAGCAGTGTTATCCTAAACAACACTAGATTTTTAATGGAACGGGTTGGCATTATATTTATAACTGTTTTAATTAAAATTATGTAAAGTATATACACGTTCTTGATGCAAGAATATGCATGGATAAAAGTGTAACAAAAATACCGAACTCTAAGTCAAGTTCAAAAAAGAGAATTTGATGGAACACACAAACCGAGTGCTACAGTGTTCCGTGTAACAATATAAGGTATTGGTAATATTGGTAACCCATGAGACATCCTAGCCATACTGTTCTTTGTATTGTTGTCCATAATGCATAAAACTATCGAGTTTAATTAATTGGTTTAATATGAATTATTTAATTTTGATTACATATCATGTTTAGAACTATAAAAACACAAGGCGATAAAATTATATCACCAGAATTTGAGTATCTAAAAAGAATGTCAAACTGTACAATTTTAAAATCAAATCAGCGCAGTGTTCATCAAAATTAAATATTTCTCAAATTTATAAAATGCAATAGGTATGTGCTATAATCACCGCCTATCAATATTATTAACTTTTTTACAAATAAATAACTGGGAACTAAAACCAGTACCAGTACTGCAGCTAACATTATCAACTTCCCTTCACAATTTTTGCAGAAAGAGACAGTTCAGCTATATAGTACAGTTCGTCATCATTGACACGAAACCCTGTACTTAAACACGGGAATAAAACTACTTATTATACTTGTAAAGTTTAAAGTTAATCATTTGTGACTCATATCGCACTTAATTAAATTGAATAACTATAAGACAGCATACATATCTAAACATATACTAACGATTTGTTTTCTTTTCCGAAAATTTATCTTTTGTAGTAATGAATGTCACGACATTTGATACTACTAATATGATAACAAAGCAATTAATGAAAAAAAGAAACCGTAAATGCGTGTGCATCTTTTTACTCCGACTATAATCTTCTTTTATGGATTGAATCTTTGGCATATTGTGTGGAATATTAATGTCAGGTAGATTTTTTTTGGCAACCGGGGAAACCTCCTCATAATCAGATTGATCATCTGTATCGAAACATTCCTCGTACACTCCATCGTCATCTGTTCTCCCTTCAACGAAGATATTGTTCAGATATACGTTTGGTTCTGCTTTCGACATCTCGGCCAATTTCACAATTTTACAAAGTTGTTATTATGTTGTTTAAAAAGGATAAATCATTTCGTCCTTCAATCTACTCTTGTTAAAAACTAAAATATCAATAATAACGATATTAAGGATAAAAAATAAAATGATATATATGTATTTTAAAAATGGCATTGGAATTATCACCCTAACCACACAATTAAACTAAAAATCTTTAGATTTAAATATGATTGTAAAACAACAGCTAAAACAAACATTAATTTCTAATACTGCTTCTAGTGTTGTTTATTCATATACTTTAAATTAACTTATTTCGCAGATAGATTCGTTATGATTCGAGGTGTTTTCGCGATCTTCTAACTTAGTTGCATTTTTGAGACACTATTTATCTGTACTTACGGACATGGCGCGAATAAATTGTTTACAAAAATAAGTTGGTTCAATGTATCCCTTTTCTTACGTGTCCGTACACTTGTCTTTTTTACTTTTTATTTTCCTCGATCTTTTACCGCTTCCGGAGCTCCTTTAATCATACGAGGTTTCTAGTGGAGTTCGTGTTGCTCAGTATATTTTCTCTTTTTCGTTTTATTTCTGTTTGACTATTATATTGTCTGTCTTTTTTGGACTTGTGAGTTTTTAGTGTACCTTTGGTATCTTCTGTCCTTTTTGTTAAATTCGGGAAGCGTCAAGAGAATAATCATAGACATATAATGGATATCATGTCTCAACCGATGGTTGACTTACAAACCACATTTTCTTTATATAAAGGTCCACCCGAAATTGATACGGCTACAGAAATAGAGCCCCGTCTATTTCTATGGGCTGGTAGAAAAACCGTGACGAAAAGTTGTCCGTTTTGGTTGCATTTGATGAATGTCCGATTGGATTGCGGAAATTTAAACCCGTAAGCCATATTCAAATATATTACCCCTTTGTAGGTTGCATCTATATAAGCAAAAGATTTGCTCTCGTTTCCGAAGACAATTTAAATTTCTCGCCATTTACCCCAGTCTATCCTATTTGCAGAAAGTTCTAACCATATATACACGGAGTATTTGCAATAGAGCGTTAAGCAAACACAAGATTGCAGTCGTTTAAGTATTTCAACAAATTGCTGGGTGTTTGTTTGATGTTAAGAATTTTGTAAATAACAAATTTTACTACTAAGGATTCATTAATTTTCGTTGGGTACCAAGTTTAGTGGTTTCCTTGTGTGCAGTCCAAGGGATGTCTAGGGATGAAAATATTCATGCATATCAGTCAACCAATTGGTCGACTTTCAATAAGGATTGGTATCTTAGATATTGATACGGGAAAGATGGTTCATATTGTCAAAAGGTTACACGAAAATGTACTTGAAAGAAATTTTTTAATATTGCAAATTTATTGAGTCAGCTTCTGTAATAGTGAGACCAATGTGCATTAGGAATAGTATTTGACTTGTTTTTGTCATCAATTAACTTAAAGCCATATCGACAGATAAGATTGATTTCTCAAACGCAAAATTAAGTAAGTGCATTCAAAGAAGCAAAATTAATTGTAAATATACATACTGTTACCAGTATACGACTAAAAAATGTCACGACGTGGTGATATGTCATAAATCATCTTTTTTATTTGAACTTCCGGGTTCCTTGTTACATACATTTTTTCAGTATCAACCAAATTCCTTTATGAATTTAAATATAAAAATAACTAACTTACAAAATGACGTGGCTAATTTAGTTTATAGCCTTGTGCATTACAACTACTCCTCTGCTCGTGTATTTCAGTTTACTGGTTGGTTTATTAATTCACATCACAGATTGTAAAACCTATACGGGAACCTTTTATCAAAATAAGTGTATAATATATTCTCTTTATGTTTAGGTATACTTGTTAAATATGGAATTAGCTTTAAATTCAAGTTTCAGATCTGTTCGTTATCTTCCGTTTTTACTGTAGACAAGTGTTTTTATCAGTAATTTCCCACCTCTTTTTATGTGACCATAAGTAGGGACAGATTTTAACAAGTGTTTTTACTTCCTTTAAACAGGACGTTTCCTCTATACTTTTGATATATACTTAAGATACAGTTATATTTAGCCATCATCTATTAATGATAGTAAAATCGTATATAGTTGATCAGTAAAATAAATCAGAAAACTAAGTATTCCTTGATCTAAATCTTCAAACGATCTAGGAGGAGTTAAATAAATCTATATGTCATTCTAGTACAAATCAGTGTTCATATTCATATCTATTTTAAGGGTTCTCGACAAATTGACATGTGATAGTTGCCACTGGATTTTAAATGCAATCCATTATTATTGATACATTATTGTTGATGCCTTAAATGATTCTGCGGGTATCTTTTTTTATATTAATCAAATATGTTTGAAACTCTACAGAAGAGAGTCATGTGCGTATCCCGGTAGCTTTCAAATCTAACTGTTAGTACCATTAGACTAATGTCACTACTTTCAAAACCAAAAGTCGCCGTCGTCTGTGTTCCGAATGTTTTGAACGTTCAACTTCACCTATCATTTCATCAATTTCTTCATCTTAAATATCTAAATCTAAGTGTTCCTCTGCTAGGCAGATTTCCAAATTTAAGGTTTTTTCATACTTGGATATATTTACAAATTAACAGAATATAAAATCGATGTATGCATAAAACTATCTTCTACTGGTAGACTATTTAATCACGAGTGTATCATCAGCTCGGTTGTAGTCAGTGCTTTGGTTATGGCATAATCCATAACATACCTTTCTTAAACTGTCCGTTTATAAATTTAGAAACTATAAAGGAAGTAAGGTTCCAAACTCCTCCTGAGTCTTCCTTAGGTGGATTAGACTATTATTTTTAAGTCACTTTCGGTCCACATAACTTTTCACATGTTACGGTTCTTGCACATCATTTGGCTTATTTCTTGAATTCTAAACATATAACAGCGTCTCGCGATTAATGTCAATAATAAATTATTTAAGAAAACTATTAATACACGTGTTGTAGAAATGACCTGACATGAATATAGCGTTAAAGATTTCTTTAAATTGATTCCAACATTTCTATTATTTTACTTTCAATATTATTAACATTTTGATAATTTTCAGTATAATAATGAATAACCACTGAATGATGTGTTTTCATTTTAACCTGATAATCAACAGGTGCCGCGAAGTTTTGTTTCCTAAAGTATAGCTAATAAGGTGCGAAAGGCTTTACTTCTTTGAACTCACTTGTTTTAACTATAATAAAATTCTACCATTAAAGACATCTCTTTTCTGAAATGCTATGTAAGTGTTCTTTTAAAACGTTCAACACGTGATTTTTTGGTGGTAGGGACGTCTATTTTATTGTCATGTCTAAATATCTCCATGGCGTCTGTAAAATCATCATTTATAAATTATTCGCCGTTATCGCTTTGTAAACGTCTAGGAGACCATAAAGATATATGCATTACATGGTAATATCAGCAACATCTTTAGCTAGTTTTCCATTCAGCAAACCACCAAAAGCTTGACGAGAAAAACAGTTCACAATATTACATATATAAGTATAAAACCTTGTTTTTCTTAAGATATTTTGGCCAGCGAATGTTGAATGCAGAAATTGAGCGTCTTACGCATGTTACGGTAGTTGTTTTTTTAAATTTGCAACAATATCAGTTTACGTACAATTTAAAAATAATCTTGATCTCCCGTACTACCGGAAATATTAAAATTCTAAAGCAATCGTAAAAAGCTTCATACTTTCTATGGTCTTTCGCGTGTTTTTATAATGATTTGAATGATTTGTTCTTTGTCCAATCATTTGTTGTGATGAACATTCAAATATGGAGACTTTTTATACATGTTTTTTGATTCTGAGTAAAAAAGATATAATGACATGAAATTTTGTACCATTCTGTCAGAAAATGCAACCTTTGGCTCATCTAAGAATTATTTGGCACCTCGGTTCGGATGTTCTTCATTTGCTTTTAAAATTTTACGGATATAAGGAATATTCACCCACAAAGTCTCTGGATTTGGATCCTTGGAAAAAGTTTTTTTTCTTTTTCCTTTAACTGGTAAAGTATCTTGCTGTTCCATTAATCTCTATACAATGACGGCATATTCTCGATGACCTTCTGATAATTCGGACGTCCGCTAGTTGGACGCCTTTATCTATTTTATGAATCTGAATATGCTGGATTAACAGACTGATAACTTCATTCTGTGTTTTTTTCAATAATAATTTTAACTATGGTCTTAGTTGTCAGAATTATTAGCTTTTGTAGATGTAATTCTTCGCGTGAATTTCGTTAAGGTAAGTTTTCCAGAAACTTTAAAAGTGAGAGGTAATTAAATGTTAGGTGATGTTTGGGTTGTTTTTACATGATTTTAAACAAATCGTTATAATTAACTAACTAAATTTAGCCAAAAAGTTGGTCAAAATGACATCATGAGTGTTCCAATGTTCCAAAACTGGTTTATTTTGTATTTGTCAGATATGTTTACTATTATTACGAAATTGGAATTTCAAGGAATTAAAGGGCTAATAATGACCCTTTGTGAGCCTACTGAATTGTTCGATATACTTAGGATGTTCTACTCAAGGAATAGATTATCTTAGCTGTATTTGGCAAAACCTTTCGGAAATTTGTGTTTTAAATGCTCTTCAACTTCGTACTTTACTTAGCCTTTAAACTTTTTCGAGCGTCACAGATGAGTCTTTTTTTAGAGAAAACAAGCGTCAGGCAAACACAATTTTAAGCATGATATCTTTAATGAGTTTATTATCGACCTAGTTGTTGTAATACAAATAACCAAATCTGGAGTTAATTTAACCTTACACCGAAGGTTTCTGTCACTGTAACGTTTGTTATTGAAGACATTGAAGAATGTGTATACTTTGTAAAAGAGATTGTCATGGTTCAGAAAATTATTTTCAAAATACACCAGGATATAAGGAAATATGTGACATACATTGTCTTCAGTTGACCACCGTTTATCTTTGACGTCTTTTGGCTGAGTTACTGTTTTATTGTCGTATCTATCATGTTTACTTTTATTCATATGTTCACAATCTTTGAGTCTGGACATCTCTTTTTACTTTGTACTGTTGGGTTGTTGTATCATCGACGTATATGAAACATGTTTTTTTTATATATATTTGAGAATGCATTTATCTTTCTAAAAAGACCTAAGTTCATCCCTAATTTTTATTTAAAGGGGTTCGTGTTTCTTTGCTTTTTTCAGTATTTTGTACTTTATTATTTTTCAATGTCTGTGTAGTTTCTATCGGTAGAAATTTCGTTTATTCTTCGTCGTGGAAAACATTATTTTTATTTCACAATTTCACTTCCGGTTAAGTCTTAGGGCTATAGAATTTACATGTATTTTTGGTGATTACTCATTGTTTAAATTAGAAATATTTATAAATCCGCCATTTTAAAATCCTTAATCACTGAATATGATTCGATGCTCTAATCTACACGACAGGAATCACATGGGAAGCAGGAAGTACCCTTTCGGAGCACCAGCATTCACCTCAGTTTTTGTTGTAGTTCGTGTTGCTTAATATTTTTGTGAGTTGTTTTGTTGTTGTTGTTTGCATTTTTTTTCGTTTATTCTTTGTCATAGCTATGTCTGATTTTATTGGACAAATAGTTTTCTACTGCGCCTTTGTATCTCCTCTCTTTTTTTCGGAGGAAAATAATTTACATTGGGAAAAATACGACAGCAGTTTTGACAAAATTGTTCTGACACAAAAATCTTATTCTAAAAAAATGTGTTGGAAAGAACTTAATTTTATGGAATCTAACCTACTACATTTTGGCAGCTTTACATACATATTACGTAAGTAGTTATGATTTCATGCTGACATTGACGAGTATGTATAGAGTAGTTTTTATCTTAGTTCAGAGTATTCGTGTCTTGCGAATATGTTGATTTGACTGCAACTCATAAACGAAGTCTATATTATTAAAAGTATCGGCAAAAAAGTAAACAAAATGTATGTTAAATCTTTTTCTTGTGTTTGTCTTTTGTAGCGACTCTGTCATGTTCAATAGATTCTGACTCTGAACCTCTATTGGTATGTTCAAAGTTTCATTTTGAAGAAAAAGTACTAGAAAAACTTGTACGCTTAGAACATAAAATAGAATTAACAGAAGGAAAGATGAAAAAGTGGGAAGATTCGTTTTCTTCTAAATTGGATAAAATGGATTCAGCAGTAAGGCAAACAAAGGAATTTGTAGAATCAATTGGAATAATCCATGCCCAGGAACAATTACGCTTTAATAATTCGTATCAAGAAATTGTAGAACGATTTAAGGTTCAATCAAACAATGCAAAACACTTTTATGGAGAACAGATGAAAAACAGTTTAGAATCTCTGTCTTTGCGAATGCAAGAATTCGGTGTGGCTGAAAAGAATAGGCAAAATGCTTTAGAATTAATGCAGTATACTCTTTACCAAGAGCAACAGCGATTTAATGATTCATTTGATCTAATCTAGGAAAACTTTAGACTCGCCTCTAATGAAACAATTCATGAACTGATTGGAACTCAGAAGAAAGGTAGGGTTCAATAATAATGTTTGTTCGAAGTTTCAACATGTCCTAAAATTTAACATTCATTTCTACTGGAAGATTTCATCATGAAACGATGCATTCGTTTTACACCCGAAATTTTAGTTTTCTAAACTGCTTTAACCTCAATTAAGCAAACAAATTAATCTCTTTTCATAAGTTTAATGTCAATGTATATTTTCAATTGAATGGTGGCTTATATGAAAGTGCCATTATTTTTTCAGTGCTTTTAACTACTATAAAGAAACTTATCATTAACCTTTGTAATAAAACATATGAAAATAGTGGAATTAACTATTTTTGGAGT